GCTGCCGTGATAGGTAAGCGTTGTTGTGACCTCTACGTCCACTTCCTACAGTTCACTGAACCCCAGGGCCTTCGTTCCTCAGGAAAACAAACACCTGTTTCATTTCAGGGGTAGCACTGTGGCCTGTTCCCCTCAAACACACTTGGCCAGGCCTTTTAGATGTTGGCCTGCTCTCTTTTGTGTTCTAGTCGTTTCTTCAGCCGAGAGCAAGGATTCCAACGTGAGCTGCCACAAGGCTTCCCTGGGCAACGTGGCTAACACTGCAGCCCTTGTTTTTGCCTTGAGTGTACAAGGGCACACTCGAGTTCCGGCCTCAGCTTGAATGTCTGTGAGTAGGTTCCGTCTGAGAAGACCAAGGATTGAAAGGGAACCAGGAGACCAGGAGTTGACATAAAGCCAGAGGAACAGAGTCAGGCCCCAAAGGGCAGCCATGTTGGGTTAGTTTCCTCAGCTCATAGTGACCCTTATAAGTAGATGCCTTCTCTCTGGGTCCACTGAGCTTTGTCCGGCTTCTCTCGCCGGTATCTTAGAATCCCTAACTCTTGGAGAACGTATGCAGAGGAGTTCGGAGACAAAGAATTATTAGGAAAATCCTCCATTTTCCATTACCCAGATCCTATTCAGTCTTAGCGATGAAGCAGAGATGGTTCCAGACACCTGGACAGCCTCTGACTATGTCTCAAGTAAGTCAGCTTTTACTTGACCTCGTATGTGGTTCTCACAGCCAGCAGAGGTCACTCAGGGGTCCTGTGGCTTCTCAGGGCGTGGAGCCTGGGGCCTGTGTCCTGTGCGGGGATTCTCTCAAGCTCCCTGGTTTTCTAAACTTACCAAGGCTTATGTGCCTTTGTTTTCTTACCTGGTGAGACTTGGTTCAAAAACAATAAAATGGCAAAGGAGCACAAAAATAGTTCTCTTGGGCGATGGTGTCCATAGCGACAGACGGAAGAGATCTTCATCTCAGTAAGCAGCTCAGGGGGGCCAGTGGAATGTTTTTGCTTGGGCAATGAGGACATTTAAATACCTCGTGAAAGTTATCCAGGGACGGAGGCATCCCATATGAGCAGAATGGCCTTCCAAGGAGGATGGAGAGTCCTTGCGATTTTGGACGCTCAGTTCTCCAGAATGATGGAGGTAGGCAGTTTAGAATGAGAATCATTGTAAACGGGAACATAAGCTACCGATACGTTGGTGATAAAATGGATCTTTCCGTTTCGGTTCAAGTCAGTAAGACTAGGTTGATGAGCCAATTAGTTTAAGCGGTGACAGAACATTTTGTCTGTTCACATTGATTTTTGTCTCTAGTCAAAATCAATACCCCACCCCACCCCCCACTCCTATTCTGCATCCCACAGGCCTCCGATCGGGCTGTGACCCGCACCACGTTGTGGGTCAGTTTGCAGGACGTGTAACCCTCTTCCCCTCTGAAGCCTGAGCTTCTGATCCTTGAGTTAAGTAAGAAGGTGAGCTGCTCATTCACTTCCTCTCAACGTCCCCTTTTCAAACGGACCAGAGCAGGACGGTGAAATGCCACTGGACCCAAAGGCACCAGTGCTGGTCTGGTGTTCTCATGACCTTCCCTGCGACTCTGTGGGGGTGTGGGACACAGAGCAACTGGCCATCTCCGCACCTCGGGTACTCCTCTGTCCAGTGATCGATAGTTCTCAAACATCACTCTTGGGGAGACCTGATTGGATAAGTTGTAATAATTCGGATTCTTGGTTTAGGAGATTCCAGCATGAAAGGGGCAGAATGGAACTCAGAGCACTGACTTCTAGAAATATCCTAGGGGAACATCATCAATTCAGTTTTGGAAACACTGAGCTCAGTTATCTCCAAGGCTGCTTTGAGCTCTAATATTTTAAGTGTTCAAGTATTCTTATAAATCTCAGTATGAATCTTATATTTAGTCTTGTAGTTGAATCAATGGCATGGTGTGTGGGTGGGGGGTGTGTATGCATGTGTACGCACATGCACACACATGAACATAAAAAGATAGAGCTGTTTCTTATTCCTTGCGATTATAAGTAAACCTTAGGTGATTGGCCATGAGAATTAAGTAGCTTCACAGAGCTACCGACAGTTGAGGACCTGCACTAGAACAATGCCAGCAGGCGAGAAGGGAGCAAATAGATTCACGGTACAATTTGCAAATATTAATGAAGAACTTATGCAGAGGTATGTAATGAGCGAATTGTGTGTGTGTGATTTATGAGGGAAAGTAAGCATTCCCCAGTAAACCATTTTTAACCTGAGTGTCTGAGTAAATGATAGCAACATTTACTAAGACCTAGAATATTAAATGAAAGATCAATCTGAGAGAGAGAGAGTGATACATTTGCAAAAAGGCAAGTTATTTTCCAAGCATCTTTCGTAAATCCATTTAGAAAAGACCAGTAGCCTAGTAAGCTTTAGCAAGACGTCAGAATTGGAAATATTGGGTGGAATTATCAGACCAGCTCCACTCGAGTACAGAGAAACCACATGAGGTAGTTGAAACAGAAGACGTTTAAAGCCAGGAATTGTTTATACAGGTACTGGAAGGTCGAAAGGGCACAGAGGTTAGTAACCATAAGATGGAGGCACCATCTCTGGGCCAGGAGATGCAAAAGGTGAGGAGGGGTCGGGCCAGTGCTCAGAATGTTGCAGCCACTGAAATGCACCTGGAGGCTGGACCCGTGCGTGTGGGACACAGGACGCCGGGGGCCCCGACCTCGGAGCTGGGCGCACCGTATGAATGATGCTTAACTGGTCAGAAGGACCGGGGCTCAGACGAATGAGGTGGAGGCCTCCTGCGGCGGGAGTTGGGCCTTGTGATGATGAGGCGTGGCGGAGAGAGCGGGGTGCGCGGCCGCAGCTCCGTGGGTCCCCGTCCTGCTGAGGGGGCGGGGCCTGGGCCAACCCCCCGCCGCCGCTGGGGCTCAGCTGACCGGAAGCGGAGGCGGGAACAGCGGCCCACCCTCCTCGCCTTCATGTCCCATCCACTGCCAGCGCCTGGCCTTAAAGGCGGCAACAGGAAGCTGGCAGACCAGGGAGTCTGGCCGATGCACTGTGCAGACTCTCTGCACATCGTCCCGGCGTGGAGCACCGAAGTGGCGGGGGCAGAAAAGCGGCAAAACCAACAGCCATGTCACCAGGTGGGAGCTGACACCGCCGGAGTGGGTGGCGCTTTCTAGAGAGAACGCGTCCTGAGAAAGCGGATGAAACGATGGTGGGTGCGACCCCCGCGAAGGGGGGACACACGAGACTGCGTGAAGACGAAGAAGAAAAGTGGCGGGAAGAACCCAGGCCCCTCCCGTGAAGGAGGAGAAAAGCAGAAGCAGGAGGCGGGGCGCGTCCCGACGTGTTCCAGGCCAGGCCGGGCCCGCCAGGCCCGCGGCGGGTCACCGCGCTGGTCCCGGGACCGTTATCGAGAGGCAGGGACTGAGACGCGTCTAAGAGGTCACCCGTCTCTTTATTAAGACAAGGTCCAGTAGCACGAGGAAGGCAGAAGGCATTGCTATAGGTTGGAAGGCAAACGGGGTATGTAAAACAGTGGGGACAGAAAATGGACATGACAGCTCAAGTCATTTGACAATGAGAGAGAGAAAGGAAGAAAAAAGACAGGAAAAGCTTAAACACGTTTAGATTCTCAAAGGCAGTTTGTCTGACCTGAGGCCACTGATAAGAAACTTCTGGAAAAGGAACCTCAGAGTTCCTATGATGGCAGCAGACGCTCATCCACTCATTGACCTCTTGCATAATTTCCAGAACAAAAAACCGAGCAACATAAAGATACATAGCGACATCGGAGCGTTTTTTAAAAACACATTTTTTTAGTTTCTTATTTTAACAGCATTTACAAATTGCCTTGTTCAGGAAATTGTGTGTGTGTGTGTGTGTGTGTGTGTGTGTGTGTGTGTGTAGTGCATATGAGAATTAACTTAATTGAATAGGTAAGGAAATTCTCTAGAGCGGAGTTGAGGGGTCTTTTTCTTTTTTCCTCTTCTGTTCTGGAAGGGTGTGTTATAAACCTTCTGTGATGAGAATGACCTATAAAATATACGTCGCTCTGCCTGAAAGCTGAGACTCTAACTTTAGGCAAGCCAGGGCCGAGGCAAGTCTCAGTTTGCCACCTCTATTGCTCCAAGGGACCAAGCGATCACAGGGTCGCGAAAGGGACTTTGGAACGTGTCCAGTTCTTTTTCTGCAGCTGCTCAAAGGTGGTCCCTCTTCGAGTTGGACTTTGTTGTTCTCTTTTTTACGGACATGCTAAGAACAGAGACCCCAAAGCCAGAAGTCTGCATTTTGGTGTAACTAAACCAGTAACTGTGGGGTCTTCCTGAGGCTGGATCACCATTCCTGTAAGGAGGGGGTGGAATTACATTATCTCGAGGGACCTTGGACTTGACAGGCTGTGATCTGACAAATTCTTAGTGTAGGTGGCCAGAACTTAGACATGGGCCAGTTTCTCTGTGGAATTTGATGCAGTAGATCAGATAGGAAACAGAGGACATTCTAGATAATTCTTGCTGATGGGGGTGGGGGGAGATTTGGGACAGCAGGACAGCCGAGGCGGTCACAGTGTCCAGCAGGCCATGTGCTCTCTGTAAACTAGAATCTGCTCGTGTCACAGAATTTAGACGAGAAAGCCCAAGGCCACGCATCTGTTGGAAGCCAGGACTCAGAACCCAGTTTAAGTGGGTCGCAGTCCGACCTTTCCAATCTACCTGCTTAACCTGTGAATTCACTAACTCACTATCAATCAATAAAATGCTTAATAGACCCTGGACCAGGAACTGCAGATGCACAGGGGAACAAGACACGGTGCCGTCCCTCCAGAAGCTCATGGCCGAGAAAGGACATTTTCCTGTAGCCTCAGAAACCGGATTGTCAGCTGCAGAGAAGCCACCATTGGGAGATCAGAGAGAGAAGACCCGAGAGTCTGGGAGCAGTGGCAGCGGCGAGGTCACAGCCGCCAGGCCATCTTCGCCTCTTCCGTTTTTGTAGCTGCCGCTTGGCATTTAATTGTTTTTCCTCCTTTTGCAGCAAAATGGTGTCAGTTCGGCTCTACAGCCCCCAATCTTATCTTCGAAGGAAAGGCATTGGGCTTCGCAGCGACCATTCATCTTCGCACAAAGCATCTGCCTTTGAATGCCTCCCCTGGCTAAGTAAAGAAAACAATTAGTCTTCAGTGACTCACTCGATAGCATTAGTTACGGGGAAAACAAAATTACGTCGCCCAGGCCCAATTCAGAATTCCTCGTTACCGAAGCTCCTGGAGAGAGAGTATGTGTCTCCAGATCAGAAGAAAAAAAACAGATGTCACCTGAACAGCTGTATCTGAGCTGAGCCCCCAGCACAATCTGTCTATGCAGTTGTCCTTATTTGATACTCACTTGAAACAAACTAACAAACGAACAAATAAGATAAGTTTCCTCTGTCAGCATCATTTCTACAATATAAGAAACAGAATGTTTCTTCCTGGGAGTGAGACAATACGCTTTCCAATTCCAATAAACAATCCTTTCCAATAAATGATTTTTTTCATATCTCTAAATTAATAGTCCCTGGCATGTCACACAAGATAAAGACAGTAGTGTTTACGTTGCAGGCAGATCCATGATGGACAATGTGCACTGTCATATGGCTGTGAAGTTTCACAGTTTTCGTGACAAAGTTAAAAGGAATGTGTCGCTAGCCTGCAACGTAAAGACCGTCGACGGAATAATGTCTCCAGCTCTGGCAAGAGACTAGAGAGGCATAAGCAGCGTGTGTCATTTAGAACAAAGAGGCTAAGCCGAAAAGAGTCAGAATATTTCAATAGGGGAATGACTGGAAAAATGGCGATGTGTGTTCTCAGGAGAAATAGGAAAAAAACTGTCAGTTGCTCTCAAAAGGAGTAGTGTTTATTCTTAGAAAAAAAAAAACTTTAGGGCAAAAAGAGTGTTTATTGGCTGTCATAGATACGAGATATTACCATGTTTAAGAGATATTAGGCTTGTTAATGTCCAAATTAGGGCTCAGATCAATGGAAAGAAATTGTAAGGACTTTGATTTCTGTTCAAAGTGAGGGGACTATTCTTAAACAGTCCAAAGTAGCACCCCAGATATTGTGAGTTACAGATCCCCGAAATTTATCAGACATCTGGACAATCAACCGACATGGAATATGTATAGGTGTTGGATATGCATCAAAAGTCGATTTGGGGCAGATAATATGAACAATAATGACAAGAACAATGATAACAAGTCTATGGAGAGTTAACTCTGTCAGAGCACAGGGCACGTGCCTGGCACTGTTTCTGCAGTTTATGTGAACAGATCGCCAAACCGTCCCCAAGCGGTTATTTTTCTCACTGGCCTTTAGTAATAGAAACCCTGAGTTTTAGCTGGACACACAGATACTTAGCTAAAAGGCATCAGTTCCTGGCTCTCTGTTTCTGTATGGCCCCGTGAATGTAGAAATGAAAGATGTGAGATGCTCTTACCCAACCGAGTTCACTTACTTATTTTCGGATTTTGACGTGAGAAAGAAATTATCTATTTTTTTCAGTCACTCTATTTTAAAGTTTCTTTATTAAAACAAGTTGGCCTCTACTCTAATTAAGATAACAAGTGTATTAGTCTTCAAAATAATTCTATCGTTATTAGCATTTATGGAAAGGAAGCCTCAGCCCCGAGTTCATACAGTTTATAAGGATCGAAACCAAGATCCAGTCTCAGATATTCTGGTATAATAGTCCATGGTTATTACCTCTTGTATGGATCATTAAAATCACTTCCATCTCTGAGATTCTCTGTGGTCCTACTTTGTGCCCACACTGTGCTTACTGTTGGCATCCGATGTGTCTGAGCTGAGTCAGGGGAGTGTCGATGAAAAGAGATGAGGAGGACAGCTTAAAATTTGTTTCCCCAGCCTGGATCCACTGTCTGACCATCAAGGAAAGAGACTGGGGACAGAAGCTCAGTGCCGACGCCACGAGCCAGACTTTGAAATAAATGTGAGGGCATGATTCTTGCCTCTGGGCTTCGCTTCTAGTCTCGGTTGTTTTCAAGACTGCGATGCCAACACCACTTCCCAGAAAGCCTTTCCTGACCCCCCAGGGAGAACCAGGCTTCCACGTCCATGGCTTCTCTCCATACTCCGTATCTTCTATAGCACTTACGAGAACCGCTTCTGTATTAGAGTAATTTGTGCATCTTCTTGTCTCCTCTATTCACTTTGTACTTTTTAAAATTTATCGGATGCCTATTTACTGTTACAGGCAAACTATTTTTGACCAACATAGAAACAATAGACCGATAAACTTCAAGAAAATTAAGGGCAAAGGCCACGCCCTAATTATATTTTTATTTCCAACTTAACTATCTTCGTTATAGTGCCCGCAATGATTTCTCATAAGTGTAGGGCACCCATTCGGTACCTATTGGTTCGTTAGGCCTACTGAGGCTTGATTATGTGATAAATAAATGTAGAAATGCAGGGACCGTGAAGAAAAATGGACAGGTGTTTCGTGATGCATGGACGGCCCCATGCAGAGAGTTTTTATAACAAGAGTGAAGAACAGTCAAGGAGGTAAAGACGTGAAAGTTTCTTAAGAATAGAGTCTCGGCCATATTGAGCAAATAGAGACCACTTCCAAGGACTCAAGGACTTAATAGCAAACTAATCAAGATGTGAGTGGTTTAAATAATGTAACTTTCCATCTGTATGTGAGAGCTAAAAAGAAAGTCCAAAATAACTTGAGGTTAGGAGGTTTGGACAAACGAGCGAGACAGGAAAAAAGAGACTGCTGAGAACCTGTTATCATAGGTTTAGTTCCACTGAGGCTCCAAAGGCTGTACTTTTCTAAATTAACAAGTATTTCTGGAGTTCGTCTCTGAGGTTTCCTCTCATTTTAAAGCAACCGCTTTGGCATTCGCCGAAGCTGGGTGGAAGATTACAAAGGAGGAGAGAGATCCAAATGGAAAGAAATCTGAACTCCTGGGTAGAGTGTTTAAGGAAGTTAACTAGATGCTCCCTGGTTGGAAGTGAGACTTGCATCAGTGAGGTCCCATCATTCTGTGTCTGAGCTCAGGGAGAGCGTTTAGCGACTGGCTCATTCCGAGACCTTTTTAGAACGTTTCCGGCATTTTTCTAAAAGCTGAGCTTTTGTCTCAAAAGACAGACCCTGAGCAGACTGCCATCCTCACATCTACGAGGATTTCCCTCTTACCTGAGAAAATCTGAGCAAGAAGAATGAAGGCGGCAAAAATTAAGGGAAAGGTTCTCATGGCTCTGGGTATCCAGGGAGAAGGAGGAGCAGGAGCTGGAAGTTGGCTGTTTATCAGGAAAGTCGATTAAAACAAGTTCTATGGCTCTGAACGGCAAGTCAACTTTGGTTTGCAATGTCTGTGAAGAACGAAGTATTCTCCACGCTCCATTAAATAACGTGTAGGCAGATGAATCAGATTTTGCCTAAGTAACGTTTATGAGAAAGTAAGGCAGAGAACACTGTCTTCCTGCACGAATGCTCTAGTCGACATCTCTGTCTAGACTTCCCTCATCTCAAGTACCATAAGGTCTACACTATTACTTTGCTTATCTACCGTTTTACACACAACTTACCTGCTTATAAAATTCACTCAGCGGTTTTTGTGCCTTTGTGCCTGGAATAATTGCTTTCTAAAAATTGGCCAATGCAGGGCATTTAGCCTACATGCACCCTCTCATGCTGCAGAAGAAGGATCCCTTTCCCCGGCCCCACAGAGAACAGATATAACAGTGGGGTTGCCCAGGTGCCATACGATGCACACACTTAAGCAGAGACAAAAGAGCATTCTTTGGACTTGAAACAGGAAGATATTCCCATACAAGGTCATCATCCTGGCACAAGCCCCAAACCCATTCTTTTGTAGCTGAGTAGAGGTGACTGCCCTGCCCAACTAAAATGATAAAAGAAAATATGATTAATATTTAATAAATAATATGCCTAAACATTCAACCACTTTCATAAAATGGACCGAGTCATTCAAAAGTTTAACTTACCCAAATCGATAGAAGAAATAGCAGAAAATTTGACTATCTCTGTATCTCTTAAAGAAATTGAATTTTTAATTAGACAAATTATGTCTTCTTCTTGAAATGTAGAAAGATGAAAAGAGCATCTTCCGACCAGACATATACCATAATACAGGCTTGTCGTTAGGTGCATGTATGTTTATTTTGATTATGTCTTCTTGATGGACTGACTCTTTAGTCATTATAAAAAGTTTCTGTTTCTGGTAATAATTTTGTCTTAAAGAATGTTTTGCTAGTTATTAACATAGGCACCAAATCTAAAGTGTGTCTCTTATACGCAGCATATAGTTGAATTTTTAAAAACCCATCTGACAGTCTCTAACTGGAATGTTTAATTGATTTTCATTTAATGTCATAATTGCTATAGTAAGATTTATATCTGCCATTTTGTTACTTGTTTTCTAAATGTTATATCTTTTTTGTTCCTCTATTTGTCCCTTACTGACTTCATTTATGTTAAATAAGATGTTGTCTGACATATGATTTTCATTCCCTTGTTATTTATTTTGCTATAAATTTTTGAGCTATTTTATTAATAACTTGGGGATTTACAATTAATGATAAACAAACTCTATAGTTTGGGTCGATACTAACTTAATTTCAATAGTCGACAAAAACTTTGCTCAATATCAGTGGTCCCCAACCTTTGTGGCACCGGTGACCAGTGCTCCTATGAGAATCTAGTGCCTGAGGGTCTGAGGCGGAGCTGAGGCGGTGATGCTGGCGCTGGGGAGCGGCTGCAGATACAGATGGAGCTTCGCTCGCTCGCCCACCACTCACCTCCTGGTGTGCGGCCCGGTTCCTACCAGGCCATGGACTGGTATTGGTCTGGGGCTTGGGGCTTGGAGACCCCTGTTCTGTATAAACTCATTTGCACCGATAAAAAGAAGTCGAAGAATTCTGAAGTATGAGAGAGGTTCTCTCGTCTCAGCTTTGAAGGAGAAAGCTGCCACTTTATGAAAAAAGCCACAAGGCAGAGACGGCGAGGCAGCCTCTTCTTGCTCAGGACAGCCGCTGGCCAGCACCTGCAAGAGAGCAGCCACCTCAGACCTACGACTGCTAGTGACTGAATTCTCCAGTGGCCACGTGGGTTTGGAAGAGGATCTCTTGCTTCGGATGGGATCAAGGTCCCAGTAAACACTGTGAGTTCTGTCTTACGAAACTCTCAGCAGAGACTCCAGCTGTGCCACGCCCCGGCTTCTGACCCGGAGAAGCGAGAGATGTGTGTGCTGCTTTAAAACACTCAGTTTGTGGTACTTTGGTGCACAGTGAAAGAAATAAACGCAATAGCATTCCCAGGTAAACACACCTCTTTGGGGGAGCACGTTTACGTGTGCTTTCGAGTCTCCTTTGACGGCATCGCTCAGTTTCCTGAATGGTTAGTATTCTGTCTGGTCGATTTGTTACAAATTGGCCTCAGTTCCTCTCCTCCCAGGGCTAAACCCTAAAACCACTTGCCAGCGGGTTCCTTTGTCTAATGGGCCACATTGCGGGGCGTGTCCCTTTAGGATGAGTTCAACCCAGGGAGCTTGCATAGCCTTTCCTTGGTCCACGGGAAGCCCGCCTCTCGTCCTGCCCGATAGCATAAGGACAGCTACTCCCCGATGACTTTTTCTTGCCCTGCCATCCTGTGCAACGCCAGCCAGCGCCCCGTGCCCATATGTCCTTCCTGGTGTGACCGAGCATGAGCGCCAGCGGGCGGCAGGTCGAGCTCTCTTACAGAGCCCTTCGCATAAGAATTGGTGGGAAATTGATGTTTCTCTTTCTCTTCCCCCGGAGGAGCAAGCGGAGTCAGAGTCGCAGTGTGCCAATGAGTTTTCCAAAAAATCCCATGCCCTGCCTTCTCTAGCTTTCCGTTAGTGCCTCGAGTTCGTACGAGGCTAAGTGTTTCAGGTCACGTTTTACGGTCGAGTTCTCTGCCGTTCTCACATTTGTGATCCAGCACCTCAGCTGGGAATGCGGGAGTTGACGACATGTCATGTTTTACCCTCTACCGTTGGGGGATTCCACCCGATCCCATCAATCCTGCTTTACTGACATTTCCCTTCTCGTCTTTGTGAAGGAGCTTGGACAGAAAACCCAGAGCTAAGGAGCAGTAAGAGGAGGTCGGCAGAGGGAGACCATAGCTACGATTTCCAAATGAACGACGCTGCGGTCACACCGAACAGGAGCGTTGTGTAGACGAAGCAGCGTGGAGCGGCTTCTGGAGAAATCCGGCGGCACCAGCGCCTCTTTGTCCTCGCTGATCCCCTCTGACCCGCCCGCCACGCACAAGGTCACCCCTCGGAAGATCAGAGGTCTCCGTGAGTTACCTTGGGCTCCACAGAAATTTACCTTAGAAAGTCATGGGCATCCACTTGATGCCCGACAGGGATGAATTTTCAAGTCACAAGAAGTTAGTAGGGGTTGAGATTTTATTATTCTATGGGAAGAACCGGGTGTCTCGGGGAAGAAGGAGGAATTGGACGGAAAAGTTCTGGAAGGAAGTCAAGCATAGAAGAGCGGAGAAAGGCAGAGGAAGAGAGAAGGAGATTATTTGTGAACGGGTGAGCATCTGCGAGACGTGCCCTCAGTGGCTGCGAGCAAGCCCGCTGACCCTGGATGCGATTCGCGACAATGAGTAAGGTAACAATAGCAATAGCAGGGCGCAAACACTGGTGCGCGCCACCCTGTGACTCAGACATGCGCGTGAATCCTTCTGGAAAAGAGACATTCATTTCGACTTTGAACTCGGGCGGGGTGGAATGGGAAATGAGCGGGGATTCCCTGGTTTCCTGGTCCCCCATAAGCCGTCGACTTGACTCTTACCATCAAAATCTGGGAGGAGGAGCTTCCGTCGGCATATGATTCCTCAGCTCTCCCTTCCCACTGCCCTGGTCTCATGTCTGTGAAAATGACGGAACACGCTAGAATTCAGAAGGGCCACGTCTCATATGTCTTTTGGAGAGTGATTGAACGAATATAAACAGATGTGGCCGTCAAGATGGCCTAAGGGCTGAACCAGCCAGGCGTGAGAGCTGTTCCCACCCCAGGTAGTCCGATAGAGAGAACTTCGCACGAACACCTGCTAAGAACGTGTCGAAACAGACGAGCACGTGAAACAGAGGCGATGCGCCAACCCTGACCTCAGCCGCGGCTGGCACCCCCTCTGTCCTGCGGTTGGAGGGACAGGCTGTGATGTGGAGCCAGAGCAAGGAGCCGTGGGACTGCCCCGTGAGAAGTGGGGACGCTGAAGCAGGGGCTTTGCTATGGCGGGGAGGGAGCAGAGACAGAGCGAGGGAGAAAAACCCCGAGAATCGCCTTCTGGCCCACCTGCCATCCCCCCACCGGGCGCTCTCCTCCACCGAAACCAGCCGGAAGCCAGGAAGCTCAGGGGAAGTCACTGGCAGAGAAGACAAGAAACGGAGCTCGGCACAAAGAGACCAGGGATCGGAGGGTCCGCAGAAACGTTGAGCCTCGAGGATTCAGTGTCACGCGTTAACACGGAGTGACCAAGTTCGAGTCGCTGCTCACAGGACTGGTCATTTTGACCTTCGCTATGTGAAGCCACACTTTTTAGTTCATAAGCACAAGCTATACAATTAACTGCTCACGTCCATCCTATGCTGAATATTTTAAATTATCCTCCATCACTTTCATTCACGGGCAAGAAGAGAAAGGAAATGGGCTCGTGGAGTTAGCTGAGTAGATGTGAGTTGTTCTCTAAATACACCGTAAGCACTAGCATCAAGGAACGAAGACACACTGGTCTACCAAGAAGTGGTATGGATAAAAGTAATTTATTGTATTCTGCAGTTATAACTCCATTAACATTGATGTGGATGCCATTCCCGGGTATCTATTTTGTGAGGATTAGGACATACAGACAGACACACAGAACGTGACAGTAGCGCGTGCACCCTTTATTGGTTCCCAGCTACGACCTTGAAGGAAGAAGGCTCTCTCTAGGTCTCAATTTCTCAAATATCAGTGGGGATCATAAAACACACCTCATGTGATGACCTCGAGTCGGATGAGGAAGGTGTGGGGACAAGTTTAATCAATTATTCAGCACTCAGCAAATACATAGTGATAGCGTCTGACCGACGTCACGGATCCGCTCATGTCTTCGAGCTATTAGGGACATGCGCCTGTCTGGCCTTTCCAGAGATTATCTTAAATAAGCAAAGAAACAAAGCAGCGGACGGACGGAAGGAGGAGGATCCCGAAACTCACTGCGGGGCTTGGCTGAGCCACGTGACTTTTCGCGACCTCCTTCCCACGCCCGGTTCCGCTGGTCTGCACTGCTAGATCCTCCGCCGGCAGCACACGAAGTTCAGCTTGCAACTTCCCACCATCTTCTCCTCTTCCGGGCACCTCCGCCTGCACTTGCCCCGACCCAGCCTGCAGGTCTCGCAAGCAGCGAACTCACCTACGCCAGGAGAGAGCGGCTGACGCGCCTCCCCCAGGACGCTCTGGAAAGGGGGACAAGGTCAAAGGCCGCAGAAAGGGGAGGGTTTGTATTTTTGATTCTAAAGATTATTTTGGAGACCCGGGCCAGATTTTTCAAACAGCTCAGCTTCTTTCCGAAATGGAATGGAGGAGAGCGTTTTTTCAAAGAGCAAGAGAGAGGCGTGGCCTCTGTTCTCCTTGGGTTTGTGAACTTGCCTGGTGTGTCCTGCAGAACTGTGACGATACATACCTGAGGCTGCCAGGAAGGCCGCCAGACCTTAGGTCATGGGAGGGACAGCTTGCGACTTGGAAAGACCCTTGCGAGAGGAGTTGAAAGACTTAGGTTCAGGGTCTGTCTGGGTCTGGCAGTGGCCACGTGTCCTCGAGAAACTGCTTAAGCTCAGCTTTCTCAGCTGTCACAGGGACACGTGACATACAGTTGTCCACGTTTTTCATTGTTTTACTGGCAAAATGGAATCATTTATGTGAGACTATTTTGCCAAATGCAATTTACTCAATTGGCTACTTTCATTGTTACTTTAAGCAGAAGCTTTTTTACACGACCACAAAGAATTTCTCAAGGTAACTTTCGTGGACCAGGTTTGTGGACCAGGCAGGCAACACCTCGGCCATCAAAGAAATCGTTATTTGCTGGTCCGGTTCTCCAGGGACAGCATTTATGTCGTAATCTCTTACTTTCTTTCCTATTACCCACCCTTTTCCAGAGGACTTCAGGACAACCCAGAACCTTCCGGGTTGGTGTCACTGCTATAGACACTGCCCGTGCTCCCACTCAGCTCATTTTTCCATCCTCGGAGGTGACATCAGTCTTCATGCTCTTCATGTCCCCTGCCTCACCACCTGTTCCTCACTCCCAGATGATGCTCAGTGACATACAGGTGATGCTCAGTGACATACCCCGCTGGAGTTGGTTCATTCCTGGGGTTATGTCTGATTGCCCTGACACTGGGTCTCCCGATGTGGCCCACGTAACTGCTGAATACCAACCCCAAGACGGTTGGAGGTCACGCTAGGTGTGGCTTACACTGTGCTGGGATTTGCTGTGTCTGCTGGGGACTGCCTTGTTCGTCCGTTTGCTTCTGCAAAGTCCACCGGTAGAGTCAGATCCACTCCCCCAGCCTTCGCTGTCATTGGCCCAGGTTTATATCACCTTCCTCGTCTCCTTGGTGCCGTGCACGACTGATGATAAGAATTCTGATGGACTCTGGAATGAAGTCCCTGGTGACTGCTATTCTAACCTACTCTGACCGGAAGTGAGGGAGGACAAAACCGAAGCTCTGCTGAGGACACCTTCCCGCTAGCAGCAGATGACGTCGAAAGCTTCCCGATTATGTCTATAAACCAAGAAGCCACGTCCTCCTTCTCCGCCCCGTTGGTCTGATCCCTACAGTACAATTTCATGGCTCCAAGGCCCCTCAGCTCAACTGCTAAACCCCAAGCTCAACCCCGCGTTCACTCCCAGCTCCTAGTTTTATGACTCCCTGTCCCCGCGTTCCCATCCCCTTCCTTGTCCGGGGTCTCCTGTGCTAACACCTGCCCTGTCTTCTCAACTTCCGGAAGCTCCGCCTCTCTTCGTCTGCATTTGCTTCCGCTGAGCTTCGGTGCCTCAGCCTGTCCCATGTCCTGAGCCTTTCGTGACCGAGGCATGAAGGAATCAGCATTTCAGCCTGAGAACCAGCCGGGACACGGAATGCTGTGGGGCCTCGTCTTTGGCATGCGAGGGACTATCTCTAGATGCCTATTGGCTGCAGAACTGGAGCACCCCATTCTCCCACCCATCACCCCGCTAACTCTCTCCGGACATGACGCTGCTGGCGTGGGCATAATGATTATTTACTGCGGCGTCTGCACTTTCCAGGTCGTCTGCGGTCGGACCGTCCATGTCGAGCAGCTTGCTGAGAATATCGCATGCCAGCTCTGCTGGGGAGCATCGCTGGCCACTATTCTCTCTGGCTGAGACCCACAGAATTAAAACTTACGACTCCGGCATCCTGAGTTGGAAGCCTAGCTTACTGCTTACTATTTGTGACCCCCAGGCAAAATTATTTAATATCCCATCTATGTTTCTGCCTCATTACATCTGTAAAATGGTGGGGACACTAGTACCTACCTCCTAGGGACATTCTGAGGACTAAATGACACAATCCACACAGGGTTGTTAACAGGCTGCCCGGTGCACAGCAAGCACGCAGGACTAGCAGCAACCTTAATTATTCTCATTCTGAAATTCCGTCTAAACACTTAAATTTTGTCTGCAGTTACCCAAGAATACTTCTTTCTGGCCTGTTTATAATAGGCCGATGACTCCACAGAGAAAGACAAGTGGGCTGTTCATTAGGAACAGCTGGCTCTTGTGCAACGGCGAAGCATTGTCACCGAACCACCCTCTCTCTTTTATCCGATCCTTCCCGGAGCGGTGGCCCACGTCCCTAACTCACTTTACCGGATTTAGCAGCAGAGTCAGCAAGACAGGAATAAGCATGTTCTCGGGACAATGCTGTCTGGCTGGTACGAGCTTGATCCTGTGACCTCGGCTTAGTGAGAACCAGGAGCTGATGCGAGTAGCCACCGAACCCGAATCCCTACGCCCCAAATTACAGTCCCGTCACGGAGAGAGTGCTCGGTGAAGCGGAAAACCCTAACCCGATGCTGGGACCAGGACTTAAAGAAGATGAGCGTTTAGTGGCATTTCCCCCAATTCCGCTTCCGCCGCCATCTCCATCGCCTCCTCGTCTCCAGAAGCGAGAGAGCGGACAAGCCGACCGAGGTCCTGAGAGCAAAAGCTGACGCGAGGGGTTTAACTCACCTCCTGCGAACGGCTCGGAATACTCTAGTCCCGCCTGGCAGCCTAGATGCAAAGCAAAGTTTGGAAATTAAAACCAAACGCAGGCAATAGCACTTATAAAGCAGTCTCCCCGCACGGCTGTCAGGCACCGTCGTCACCACGGCGGCATCTTCACTTTATTTCTGAAGCCTGACTATCCCAGAAGTGTTTTGTTTGTTGGTTTAAAGAAGAACAGTGTTTGCTTTTAGAAAATACCACCGCGGATTCAAGAAATTCCCATAGGAAGCACCGTGCGGGGCTGACCGGTCCTCTCGATTTTAGGGTGCTGCATGAAAAATCCTCCAATTTTATGCTCTGCCCCATCAAAGTCCACCCCCTCTCCCCCTTTCTCACTTACCTGATGGAAATTGAGCCCAAATGAAGAAAAAGACAAAGACAAAATACAACAACTTCCTGCCTGGGGCCATCGCTGAGGAAGGGTCCAGGACGGAGCTGCGGGGTGTCTTTGAGAGGAAAGAGGCTCCTTTATATTTGAAAGTAACGTGATGTGCTCTCGGTCAGTGAGGTGGATCCATCCGGAAAGCACAGTTACATGCTCCGTTTCTCCGGATCAAGGACGAACGTGACGGGCCGCAGCCCTTGGGCTCCACGAAGCCTCAGAGTTTGGGGGTCTGACAGGGGACCTGCAAGGAACACCAGGCCGGGTGTCGGAAGGCCGGGGGCCACACACAGCTGTGACACACCACCCAGGAGGTGGGAGTACGCTCCTCCGCCCACCGCTCCTGGCTCCGGGGTCCTCGCCTATCAAACAGGCACCAGGACAGTTACCCTGCCGGCCTCTCAGGTCGCGATGAAGACACAAGCGTGTTTTGAACGTCTGAGTGCTCAGAGGCCTGGCAGGAGCTCAGTGTCGTGGACCCTCATGCTCCCGGCTCCCGGCTTCTGCCTGCAGGATGAAGGAGGGACAGCGGTCACTCAGCCGCGTCAGCTCTGAGTCCCTGACCTGCCACGGCGTCACCCACCGGGACACAGTCATAATCACCACGTCCTCTTAATTCATTAAGAAGGTGGGTATCGAAAGTAATGTCCACGTCGCTGCCACGCCCCTCTGAGGAGGTCCCGCCCTGTCACCTCGGCTCCCACGATGCTCTGGGCTCCATCTGGGGGATGAAAACTAGGAGAGTTTACAGATGTAGACGGTCGCCAGACACGTCGGTTTAGTAAGTGTACGACCTTGAGCAACTTGCTTAACTTCTTGAACCTCACGACCCTTGTCTTTCAGATGAGAATGTAATAGGTCCGTCGTTAGGCACTGCCTGGGGCAGCGGATTCACCCAGATGGAGCGTGCGAAGCGCTCATCCGAGGGCCTGGCCACGGGGACCAGCTCCTCGTTCACATCTGTCCACCCAGCTCGGGCCTGACTTCCCTGTGAACTCACAGCGAGCCTGTCCCAGCCTGGGAGACGCGGCCGGGCCGGGGTGGATGTTTGTCTCCCAGCCTTGCCAACGATTCTGCTCCAGGGGCACGAGCTACCTGGCGTGGTGTTGAGCCCAGCGCCTTTCAGCGTTTGGGCCTTTTTAACGACCGGGACCCGCTGGCTTAGTGGCCTAGTGACATTGCGGTCACACAGTCCTGCCCCACCCCACCCCGCCTTGGGGTCGAATGCTCTGTGTTCACCGTGTTGAAGTTCCCAACAATTGTTCCCTGACCATGTGCTCTGTAGTGCGGTCTGGTGGGATGAGGCGCCCCCCATGGCCTGGTGCTCGGCTCCCACGTGTCCCTGCCCCCCTTCCCTCCGGGGGTTCAGGCTTTGAGCGAGGCTCGCCTGGTCGCCTCCTTTCCCTCCCCCCTGCGACCCCTCCACCTCCACCCACCCGCTGAGCCCTGCCCTGATCACCCTCTCGGGGCTGGGCCTGGCGGCACCTCGGCCGGGGGAGTAGCCTGTCCCCTCCCCCAGTTCAGGTCCTACTGCATCCCGCCTGGAGGCTGGGAGAGCTTTGGGAGCCACCCAGTCACTGTGGTGGGGCCGCGGGCCCCTGGGAAGGAGACATGACCGCCTTGTCTGTCTGGGGCAAGTCAGACCAGTCCAGGGTGGCAGGCAGGAGGGGACAATCCAGTAGGCCATGGGCACGTGCCTATGGTCAGAGTAGCAAGCGAGGGGACCTGTGAAGGTCCACAACTGTCCCTTGAGTGTCCCTGTGCCCGAGGGAGTGCAGCCTTAGAGAGCGAGTAAAAAGTACTATGACAGCCGGCTAGGACTGGGAGGAAGGAAGCAGCTTTACATGTTGGTGGCTTTAATGACACCTTTTTCCGGCTCTTCGAGCGCGAGTCTGTGCGTTTCATTCCGCACGAGGCCCCGCAAGTTGAGTAGCTGTTCCACGCTTGGCGTGAACGTCCAGCCTCAGCGAAACAAGACGACCCCGGAAACTGCCGCGACGTGAAGACCTGTCCCCCTCCTCCCCCCACGGGAGTCGCGAGACCTCCTCGTTCCGTTGCTGGGCCACGTGGGCATCGGGCCCCACGGCGTCTGCTGCCTGAGCTCAGAGCCCCCGGTCTGGTTCCACACTCAGTCCCCACACCCAGTCGTCTGCTTGTTTAGCCGCTCAGAGCCCACCTGCTTTGCGCACCCCACGAAGTTGCACCCACTCTCTGCTAACCACAGATGGAACAAGCCCCCAGGCTGCTGCTGCCCTCTGAACTGTCACCGCAGCTCCCTGCCTGCTGCTGAGCGACATCCCCGAGGCACACGATCCCCTCTCATGACCCCCTCCCCTGGGAGTTTTCGGGCAGCGGCCTCAGGCCACTGTCTCTAGAAGGTGTCCTCCTGGGAGGGACGTTCCTGTCGCGTGACCTGGTGCAGATGACACCCAGTAATGCTTGTGCTGTGTTCCCGCCTCCTCCCTCCCTGAGCAGCTCTGAACCCTGGCACGCACTCTCCTGTCCGGAGAAGTCGCCCAGTCAGACGCACCTGCCCTCTCCGCGTGAGGTGCAAGCGAAGAGGAAGCAGCTTAGGACGCTGCTCAGACGAAACTCCGCACGCTGTGGTCTGAGGGTTTCTGAGCCGCCCCCACCCCCACCCGCTGCCGCCCCAAATCTTACCTCGAAGTCCTAACTCTCTAGGCGAAGGTGTTAGGAGGTGGGGCCTCTGGGGGGAGTGACCGGGTCATGGCTGGGATTAGTGCCCTCATGAAAGAGACCCAGAGCCATCACTGTCCCGTCTTGCCGTGTGAGAACACAGGGAGAAGTCGCCAGCTGCAGCCTGAAAGGGGGTCCTCGCCAGGACCCCAACATGCTGCCCCCCGATGTCGCCTTCCTGGCCTCCAAAGCTGTGGAAATAAGTGTTTGTTGTTTACAAGCCACCCAGTCTGTGACACGTTGTTACAGCAGCCGGAACAGACTGAGACGCTGTGCACCCTGGGTGTGGATGAGAAGCCACAAAACCCCAGTGTGAACTGGAACTTGTCAACACTCATCTGTTTCAGACGGCTCAGCTATGACTTTTCTACGTTTGCAACCGTCACTTGCCGACAAAGACCCACTCTGTCAAAGCAGAGATAAATGAGATAATAAATAAGGCAACTAAAGCCAGGTGTGACTTATCTGGAAGTTTGTCTCATCTTGTAGATTTAAATCCTTTTGAGTGAGGTTTGGAAGGAGATAGGGGAAATTCGTACTTTTGATCTGTCATCCTTAACTGGATTATTCATAATTTATAGTCAATATGCACAAAAATACTAAGAAAAATATTATAGTGACCGAGGCCAAGGATAGATGCGACATCTCCCAGTAGATTTTTTAAATAAAATTTTTAGTTTGGAATAATATTAGGTCGACTGAAAGGTTGCAAAGATAGTACTGAGTTCTCATCTACCATCTCCCGCCTCCCCCAACGTAACGTCTATGCTAATAATTAGTAATGGTGACAACCGTGGTACCGGTCCTTATGTAAGATTTCTAAGGATATTTAGATTTATACACATCTTTAACGATGAAAATCACACACACACACATACACACACATGGAATCTCAATCAAATATCCAGTAAGCTCACACCTATCCAGAGAGCTGTACACGTAAAATGTGCAGCATACAGTAAGAGCCACGTTTTTTAATAATGACATATGTGCTCAGTCAAGCCATTTGCCAAGTGTGCGTGACTCACAGACGCCGGGGCTGGAGTTCGGGCTCCATCTGGCTGCATCCGGCTGCTTCTTCACTGGAGCACCGTGATGTCACGGTTCAGTCTCGCTTTTCACGTGACTGAACCAAAGCTGTGACGGAGCGTAGAAATCAGACGGCCAGGTTCCAAACCTTTTCTTCTCGCCGACTCACATGTCTACACCTGGTCATCGGTGTCCACCTACTCTACCACCCCCTACGTCCCCGTTTTTGTTCTTTGGAACTTTCCAGAATCAAAAAGATGCTGAGGTGCCGACTGACACCCACTGAGGTACGTGGGCTCTACCCGGCAGAGCACAGAGATTTTCCTGGCACGCTTCACTGGTCACGATGGGATGTGGTCCGGACAAAGGTATAAATACGGGCGTGCGCTGCTCTTCCTCATGGACGCCGGGCTGATCCCTCGAGACCCTGCAAATCATGAGGACGGTCCTCTTTCTCTTTGCTGTTCTCCTCTTTCTGGCCCCAGGTAAAATGAGCACCTGTACAGGAAGGGTACCAGTGGCGGTGGCCCAGAGAGGGTGTGCCTCAGGGAGGGCCTGGGCATCATCACCTGTAGAACTCAAAGGCCCCCCGGCTCGGTGGCCCCACAGGGGGCCACTCGCTACAGGTGGCTACTTCCCGCTAATGCCTCCTCTGTAAATCCTTTGCATTTCCCACTGTTACCTAGGATGGAGCGTCGCAGGTATAGAGAAATACAGGTAATGCCAGGAAAGGTGCTTTTTGATCCTCAGTCTCATGCTCATCGACAAAAAGGAAAAAAAAAAGAAAAGAGAAATTAAAAGCAAGGTAGCCATCTGTGGATCATGTACAGAACAGGAGTGATAGATTAAGACAGGTGAGGAAGAGAGGTGGGGAGAAGAAGAAGGGACAGAGGGACAGAGCTTAGACCCTGCATCCGAGCCAGTCAGGCACCGGGTGAGACAGTAAAACATAAACGGCCATTTCTTAGTCACATGCTAGAAAGCTGGAGGCTGACAAAAACCTCACGATGAAATGCATCTAGATCTCCAACGCCAACTCCCTGCCTCTCTCTCATTTGGTGCTATTCGGGGCGACTCCTTTGGGTTGGGAGGCCCATTTTATAGGCCCTGTTTGCAGACACAGAAATTGAGGCTTGGACGGGCTCAGCAGATGCCCAGAGTCATACGGACAAGCAGCAGTGACGCTCGAATTTGAGCCCAACGCTGTCTGGCCGCAGTGAGAGCGTGTGTCCTTCCCAGTCAGAACCCTCACCCCTTGCTCCCATTCCTGGGAGCCTCCGATGGCTCCAGGTGGATCTTCCC